CCTTAACACTACTTCCTTATCTCTCAAACAGCTGCACTCTTAGCATGCTCAAGCTATTATTTCTTTGTCAATAATAACATATTTTATCCATCTCTCACAACAGGGACCTCTAGAGAGGATCCATAGTCCTATCTGCTGACCATAAAGACTAAAATTGCACTAAGGAACAGATCTCTACTGATACTCACCCCCTGAACCAAAGAAGAATGCCAGCTGTCTAGCATTAACAGTGGGCAACTGGCTCTGCTTTGCTCGGCTGGTGATGTGGCCATGATTTTCTGAATCTACTTGGTCTGTAGGGAAGAAAGGCTCATCATAAACTCTTCCAAAACCCTTTTGTGTTTTTCTTTTTCTTTTAAAGGGACTTAGATGCCTCAAGCATCATTGCCAGATAAACAACAATAATACAGGAAGCTTTTCTTCTTTCAGTATCTTGGAGTAGTATCCCAACTCTCTGGAATCTGCAAGGAACCATTTAGATCTATTTCTGAAAAGGAAAACAAGAATGCTAAGGACATTCTGGGCCTTTTTCGTACTGAAAGAAGCAACGTATGCTGCCTGCTGCCATCATCCTCTTCAAACCACAATCCATCTCCAAGATGCACATATATAACTCAAAGCCCTTAGATGTTGTTACATCCAGATTCCTTACAGTAATATTCTGAGTACTTTTTTGTCTTTTCCTTTTAAGTCAGTGTTGACTCCTGGCGACTGCCTGGACAAGTCCCTGCAGTTTCCCTGGAAAGATTTCAGAAGATTTTCAAGATTCCTAGTCCCGCCTTGGACGTGAAAGCAGCTGGGTGTCCTTGGGACAGTCCCTCTCTCTCAGCTGTAGGAAGAAGAAGGGAAGGACAAACCACTTTGGAAAAACCTTTCCAAGAAAATTGCAGTGAATTCCTAGGCAATCGCCATGAGACAAAAACTGACTTGAAGGCAACAACAACAACAACAACAACAACAACAACTCCTTCTTCCTTCCAGGGTCCACATCCAGCAGATGACAGTGTGTTCTGGGTTGAGCTTCTGTAGGGAGTGAGCTCTGTGAATCCCAGGGCTTAAAGGGCTTAAAGGGCTTTTTCTGGCTTTCTCCTTTTTAAGGAGAAAATAGCCAGAAAAAAGGAGAGTAGTTTTTCAAGTTATGTCAGGGCTCCTGTGCCTAGTTTAGGGGGTTAACCATCAACCCCC